ACAAAGCCAATTTGGTCAAAGTGACCCTGATGACTTGGACCCCAGTTACACAGAGCAATGGTTCTTAAACTAAAAGTCATGAACCCTCGTGGAATCTAATGAAATTCTATGAATGCTCTCTCCCAGAAAAATCCAGCCCTCCCTCCTCCAAACACATGTAGTTTTAATTACAACGTCACGGAGTACAGTTCCACCCCAGATCCATTCACTGGGCCTTCTAAAGGTCAACAGACTCTAGGCTAAGCACCCCTAGATCTATAGTGACAATCTACGTCACTTTCAATATGGCCCGGTAATAAAAGAACACTCACTATCTCCTGCAGAAGTGAAAATTCATATGAGTCATTTACAATCCCTGAGAGTTCTCTCCAACGTTATTGCAGACAAGTAAGAGTCTCTGTTCATTTGTATTTCGAGACATGTATAGAAAAGGAGATTTTTCTTGTGTAGAGCCAGGTAGAGATTTATTCCTGCTGCTTATTTGTCCAAAGCATGACGCTAGGAAATTGAGTTCGCTTTTGTAACTTTGTTTCCCCAAGCTATACAAGCCTGAGGAAGGACAACCAGAGGTGTGAATATTTGTAGTCATGAAAATTTAAATTCAGTCAATGTACCTGAGGGTAGGCAGGAAGAAGCAGCTCTTATTATAGCAGCATTTCTTTGATTTTGACCCCCACCCCTGACTCTGAAGCGGTGTGCATTCTAGATATTTCTCTCTAACTGGAAGGATTCTTTAATACAAAATTTGACATATGATGACTATTTATCAATGATAATTATAGTTAACATTCAATGAACACTTACTATTTGCCAGGCACTTTTTAAAGTACTTTATATAATTTTTTTTCTCATGTAATTCTCACATCAGTCCTGAGAGAGGGGCGCTATTATTATTCCCATTTTATGGATGCGGAAGTTTGCTAATAGGTGAAGGAAAAAGGATTCCACCTGGCCCGACCGACTCCAGAACCCAAACCCCATCCTTTTAGCCACCTGCCCAGACTTCAGAAAAGCACAACCCTTGTCTTTTACTGTACAGTTATCTTGGACAAAGATCTCTGCACCATGGCTCTGCATGGTACACAGCGGGTTTCTGACACCGTTTCTGCTTCCTCTGACTACAGAACTGGAGAAGAACAGCCTCTGTTCCGTCCAGTCCTGCTGAGAGATTTCTTTCGGATGTCCCACACCCGGCTTGTTCCATCCTGTTCCCAGGCTCAGATGGGGAAGTCCTTTTTGTTTGAACTTATTGCTCAGTAAACTCGATGACTCAACCTTTGCTCAGGTACCAAGCTCTGGTTAGCCTAGTCAGGACCCTGCTAAGGAGCGCTGCCCCTTCCTGTGCGTGTCTCACACGGTCTCTGGTCTGGGCTGGCTGCGCTGTGCTGAGAGCTGTTTCACGAGCAACGTGAACGCTTTGTGCTGTGCCACTGACTCTCTCTCTCCCCTCATTACTGCCCTTTCTGGGCCTTTCTTCTCTGGCCAGCTGTGCCTGTGATCTCCAGGCTGTGGTGATCAGAGGGCACACCTTCCTTACCCCACTTTCCTGGGAAGAGGAACTTCCCGACTGGGGTCTGAGCTGAAGCAGCTCTTCCTGTACTGAAATCTTTTGTGTGTTTCCATGAACTACTCTGTATCATCACACAAGCCAGTGGAGGTGGTGGTGGCACCATCTAGTCGTTCATGACACATCTGTTAAGCACCTATTTGTGTTCCAGGCATTGTCCTGAGCGCTGGGGTTGCCATGGTGACCACGATCAAACTTGTTCCTGCTCTCATAGTTTACTGTGTTTGAATGAATCAGACCCATGAAGAGGCGACTGCCATAAAATGTGATAAGGCCATGACAAGTATTTTGAGAGCGCCTACCTAAAAGGGGCACCGACTTCAGCATGAAGGGCTGGGGCAGATGACCGGGAGGATGTGGTGTCTGGGGACGTGAAGGATGACAAGAAGAAATGAGACAGGGGAAGTTTGGTGGCTGGGTAGCCACAATTAGCTCAGCATGGCGGAGGCAGAATTTGCAGTAGGGTGTGGTCAGATGTGATGCTGGAGAGAACAGCAGTGGGGTTATGAAGAGTGACTATCATCTAATCACTCTATAGATCACGTATTTACCAAATGCAGTCACAGGCTAAACTACTGTTGCTTGGAATTTTTTTTTTTTTTTAATTTTGAGTCAGAGTCTCACTCTGATGCCCAGGGCAGAGTGCCATGGCATGCTCACAGACACTGCAGCTTCGACCTCCTAGGCTCAGGCAATCCTTCCACCTCAGTTTCTTGAGTAGCTGGGACAACAGACAAGCACCACCATGCCTGGCTAATTTTTTTGATTATCTCATAGGGACACGGTCTCGCTATGTGAACCCAGGCTGGTCTTGAACTCCTGGCCTCAAGCGATCCTCTTCCCTTGGCTCCACAAAGTACTGAGATTACAAGCGTGAGCCACCACACCCAGTCTGGTTTGGATATCTAGTGGCAGGGATGAGGCTGAGGAGTCATATTTGTTGAGTCCTGCTGTGTGTTGGAGGTGATCAATGGTCTCAGAGACCTTTGGTTCTAGATCCCAGTGCGTACCACCCAGGCTCCCAGCCGGCAAAATGTCTTCCTTCTCCAGGTAGACTGTCTTGTGGCTCGAGACATGCCCAGTCTTCCTCCTCATTATCTACAGTGCTTTCCACTCCAAAAACAGATGGCCTTAATCAAGGTCCCCTCAGCTACCTCCCCTGCTACACCTTTCACAGTGGAGCCTGATTTGGCCACTGGTGCTGGGGTTGACCCCAGTGTACCACTTAGCTATTCGAAATGGAGCCAGGTCTTTCCCATTCACGGGCAGCCCTCCCAGGGGCAGCCCTCCCAGGTAGAGATGCTTATCTCCATTTTCACAAATGGGAAATAGAGGCTCAGAAACATTAAATTACGGGTCGCAAGCCACAAAGCTATAAGTGGCAAGGTTGAATGTGGACCTGGTCTGATTCTAAAGCCACTATAACAAACATACAATGCTTTCACTTTCCCTATCAGCGTGTTTGTTCTTGTGAGGATCCCTTACATCTGCTTTTTTGGTTTCCTTTTTGGCCTTCCCTTGAAGATGAGTCTCAGAGGTTGGGTCAGAGGTTTTTAGGAGACCTGTTCAAGAGTTTTCCCTTAACCTCTCACTTAGGAGCAGCTGCATTCAGACACCTCACACCCCCAGGACACGTTAAATGACCAATAATAGCTCGCCCTACCCAGCTCTATCCCGGAGGTTGGAGACAAGCTTCCCATTTGCCACTTTGATGTAGAACAAAAATTTCTGATGTTGGCTACTGTTTTTAAATCTCCCTCAGAGCACCTGGTAATTTTCTTCTTAAAAAATTTTTTTGTTTAAAGATGTGAGGTACAATTCAGGGTTAGGTACACAAATGTTCATTATGCAGGGACCTTTGTTGATGAGGTGTGCCCCCCGCCCGCTGCACCCCTCCCAGGCAGTTTCCCACTACTGCCAATCTCACCCCCGCCATCCCCTGGCAGTTCCCACGACTGCCAATCCCTTTCTTACAGCATTACAATAGTTTTTCAAGGTCCACTTATGAGTGAGAACATGTGGTACTCAGTTCTTTGTTTCCGTGATAGATCACTCGGTGTTACAGACTCTAAGACCATCCAAGTTGCTGCGAATTTCATCATTTTGTCCTTCTTTAGGTGATTTTCTTATGCAAACAGGTTTTTTAGGCAGCCCTCGGTGTAGCAATTTGCACGTGGGCTTCCTTCTTTGTCTCCCTACCCAGACTCTCACTGCATGCTGTTTTCTATTTACTTTTATTTTTGTCACCTCTTTTCACTAGTCATTTTAATGTTCCATTTCCATGCTAAATAAAATAGATACTTCTGCCCCTGTACTCCCTCCCACCTATTTTCCCAGCACCAGTAAAGCCCGGGGCGAATCTCGTGGATTGTACCAGTGAAGATGGGCGTGTTTGCTGGCTAAGGCTCCAGCTTCACACAGGATAGGAATGAATCAATCACCAGGCTTTTATTAAATGTCTCTTTGCTAAAAGCATAGCTCTCCCTACTTGCCAACCAGCCTTGGTTCTGCCCTCCTGAAAGTAAGCTGGACCTTGTCTCTAATTACTCTCCTTCCCGGCAGCAAGTAGAAAATGCAATTTTAAAATTGTTTCTATTAGTCACAAGGTACTTTCTCCAGAATATTGCTCTCTATTTTAAAAAGGACATGTAATTATTTCCAGTGAGCAAAATCAAAAAATTTTATAGAAGAAAGGCAGTTTACATAGTGGTCACTCTATAATTTGGAGTCAACAGATTTGAGTGAGAGTCCTGGCTCTGTCCTTTGCTCGCCATGTAAACTAGGGCATGTCACTTAATCTTTTGGAAACTCAGTTTCTTCCTCTGTAAAATGGGGCGATTAGTTCACAAAGCTGTTGAAAGGACTAGGTTAGCAGGGATTAAATAAGACAGGGCAAATTAACATAGTTTTGACCCAAAAGGTTCTATTATTATTATTAGCAAAAAAGTCATCGGCCTACCTGTCTGTCCTCAGAGCAGTCTGATATATTTTCACTTGCTTCTTGAGATTCTATTTTTTCTGTACAGATTCCCATTCTTCTTCAAACACAGAATGGGCTATTGTTTCCATAAATACTCTGAATCTCACCTTTTGTAATCATATAAATAAAATTATGGCAGTTGAGGGAAACTGCTAAGGGAGGGCGGGGCACACCTCATCAACAAGGGTACCTGCATAATCAATGTTTAAATACCTAACCCTGAATTGTACCCCACATCTTTATAATAAAATTTTTTAAAATTATAAACTGTACATGTAAAATCTGTGCATTTCCCTGTACGCAAATTATACCTCAATGAAATAAAATCTATTATAAGTCTAAAAGTAAAAATAAAATTATGGCCGAAAGAAATCACAGATGACTTTTTTGCTTTTATTTAGCCTTCTTCAATAAGATGACTATGTTTCCTTGTAGAATCAAGAGGTAGAGTTTGTTCGAACTGGCTATGGGAAGGATATGGTAAAAGTTCTTCATATTCGTCGAGACGGAACATATCACAGCATTAAAGAGGTGGCAACTTCAGTGCAACTTACTTTGAGTTCTAAAAAAGATTACCTGCATGGAGACAACTCAGACATCATCCCTACGGACACCATCAAGAACACTGTTCACGTCTTGGCCAAGTTCAAAGGGGTAAGTGTCATTCTTCTTAGACGCAGCCTATCTTGATTAGGACTTCACTACCAGACAGCATGGGGGTGTTACTTGCTTATTTCAAGTTCCCTTTACCTTTTAACCTACTTTTACATTTAAGCCACATTTTAAAATTGCCTTTTCTGAACAAAATCATGTCCTCTGTAGCAACATGGATACAGCTGGAGACCATCACTCTGAGTGAATTGTCACAGAAACAGAAAACTGAATACCACATGTTCTCACTTATACGTGGGAGCTAAACACGGACCACACATAAGGATAAAAACAGCAGACACAGGAGACTTCTAAAGGGAGAAGGGAGGAGATAAGTGTTTAAAAACCATCCATTGGGTACCATGCCCATCACCTAGGCGACGGGATCAGCAGAAGCCCAAACCGCACCATCATGTGATATACCTATGTGACAAACCTGCACACGTCCCTCTTTAATCCAAAACAAAATAATTTTATAAAACGTTCCTTTTTTATCCTAAAATTCTCAGGGTTGCAGTAAAGTTGGCTTAAAAAAAAACTCATCTTTGTATTTTCTCTCATTTCACTATAGACTTCTAGGCAGAGAATCTTACTGGACAAATTTATGTTATCTCTAATTAGGATCATAGGCAATTCAAGGTCTGGAGAGGATTTCAGAATAGAATTTAACACACTTTGACCATGCATTTCTTTGAGCCTTATCATTTATTTATTTCTGTTACAAAAAAATTGGCCGGGCTCGGTGGCTCAGCTTGTAATCCCAGCACTTTGGGAGGCCGAGGTGAGTGGATTGCTTGAGCCCGCGGGTTCGAGACTCACCCAGGCAACTTGGCAAGACCTCATCTCTACAATAAATCAAAAATTAGCCAGGCGCGGTAGCGTCTACCTGTAGTTCCAGCTGCTTGGAAGGCTGAGGCGGAAGGATCGCCAGAGCCCAGCAGTTCGAGGTTGCGGTGGCCGAGAGCGGCCACTGCACTCCAGTCTGGATGACAGAGTGAGACTCCAACTCAAAAAAAAAAAAATTGTGTGCATTTATATAAGAAAATACCATTTCTCTTTCTGTTGTTACTACAAAGAAAATCTTGAGTATAAGATACATTTTTTTAAATTGTTGAAATCTATTTGTCCAAACCTTGATGACTTCCTAACTTTCTCAACTCTGTTACTGCTTACTTTCCATACACGGTGGTTAATAGTACTCTTCAAGAGGGATTTAGATCTGATGTATCACTTTTCAATATATTCATAATTTCAATATTTTAGCACTTTTTTCTCTGGTTTCTTCAAGTGTGAGTGAAGCTGTGTTGAATCATCAGTAGATTTCTGGGCAATTCAGGATACTTTTTTATTTGCCAAAATGTCTAAAAAGACAAGAAATGTAGACTGGAAACCTTCTTTTCTCCTCTTTTTGCGTGACATTCCCACCCATAATGCAACTAATGAACAAACTAGTTGCAATATAATTATTGCAAGCCCTATTTCCACCCTGAACTTTTCTTTTGCTAATCAGAATTACCCAGCAAATATAGACAGAAATATGGAAAAAGGAATTACTCACTTCAAAAAACTCATTTGAAAATAGACTTGTACTGGGATATGGAAGAGGGTCAGGTACCATAGATTCTTTTGTGTGTGTGTGTGTGTCTTGATCTTACTCTGTTGCTCAGGTTAGAGTACACTAGCACAATCTCGGTTTACCGCAGCCTCGAACTCCTGGGCACAGGTAATACTCCTGCCTCAGCCTCCCAATAGCACACCACCACACCTGGCTAAATTTTTGATCTTTTGTAGACACAATATCTCACTATATTCGCCAGGCTGGTCTTGAACTCCTGGGCTCAAGCAATTCTCCTGCCTCGACTTCCTGATGTGCTAGGATTACAGGTTTGAGCCACATGCTAAGCCCAGAGATTCTTGTACTGTACTGTGTGAGAGTTTGCAGAAAGTGAAGAATGGACCTGAATGTTAAAACAACTTAAATTCATTCATTACAGATAGAGTGACCATGCACTTTCTTATCCAAACCAGGACACTTTTGAGAGTGAAATAGGATGTTATTAATCATCATTCTGGGACACGAGGATAAAACCATGCTAAGAGAATCTGGACAAATAGTATATCTCAATTACAGGCAAAGACATTAATAATTTGTAGACTGTTCTAGGACCATACACATCCCCCCATACCTATCTCTAGGGGTTTGTGTGGAAATATGAGCTTCTTTATGAGTGTGAAGAGCTAGGAACGATCATTGAAAGGCCTGGGCCAGGGGCAGAGGCTTACGCCTGTAATTTCAGCATTTTGGGAGGCCGAGGCAAGAGGATAGCCTGAGCCCAGGGACTGGAGATCATCCTGGGCGACATGGCGAGACCACATCTGTACAAAAAATCAAAAAATTAGCCGGGCATGGTGGCACCTGTTGTCCCAGCTACAGAGAAGGCTGAGGCAGAAGAATTGACTAAGCCCAGCATGTCTAGGCTGCGGTGGCCATGAGTGTACCACAGCACTCCAGCCTGGCTGACAGAGTGAGACTCCTACTCAATTAAAGAGAGAAGAGAGAGAGAGAGAGAGAGAGAGAGAGAGAGAGAGAGAAGGCCTGTATGCAAGGTAAAGAAGGTGAAATGGCCCTTCGTCCTTCGTTAACCTTTTTCCTTGAAAAACTGGAGGTCCATCTGCAAACCTCATCAAGCATCCAGAGTGTCATGATATACTGTGATCAACATGGTTGGTGACTGAGCTCACTGTGAGAAGAATCTGCATGTCCACTTACTTAGGCTTATTCACAGATACATCCTCTCCTCTCCTGCAAAACGGGTTTCTTTAAAAAAAAGAGAGAGAGAGAGAGAGATGGTGATGGTGATGATTAACTTTACTTGGGAGCTCTAGCGAAAAATTGAGATAAGGACCTTTATCTCTTGAGATTCTAATTCTGTGTTTCTCTCTTTCCAAAAAGCCAGTGATCAGGAAAGAGGGCTCCAAGGGTAATGTCAAAAGACCAAAATGACAAATTTAGCTATAGACCTAATTGGCTTTTATTTTTTTAAGTTATTTTATTTTAAAGATGTGGGGTACAATTCAGGATTAGGCATACAAGTGGTCAACATACTGATAAAGTTTGGGCCTCCGTTTGGTCCCCACTTTGCCTGGTTTGAGATCAGGTACCCTTATTCGTGTTATGTGGCTCCCCCTCCCCCACCCCTGGCACTTTCCAGCTACTGCCAATCCCTTTCTTATAGAATTATGGTAAATGTTCAGGGTCTGCTTATGAGTGAGAACCTGTGATACTCTGTTCTTTGTTTCTGTGATAGATCACTGAGTATGATAGACTCTAAATCCAACCAAGTTGCTGTGAAGTCCATAATATTGTTCTTCTTTATGGCAACATAATATTCCATTGTGTATATGTACCATATTTTTTTAATCCAGTCCAGTTTCGATGGGCCTCATTGACTCTTACTTACCAGTAGGAGCAGCTTCCAGTATACAAAGTAGAATGAGAGCATCCACTGGACAATAACAGAACAATGGGTTTTATAAAGTGGGAAACAGAACAACAGAAAAAAACAAAAACCTGATTGGTTAGCATCAAGTTACTTCAAGTTGTTTTTCTTGTAAGGGCTCTTGTAAGCAGAGGGGACTTCTTTATTTGCTGACTCAGATATACTGGGATTTCCTGTTTTCAGGAAAAGCTCATCTGTTTTGGGATCTATCTGGTTCCTTAAACTTTCAACTTGATTATGTGGTATTTAACAAGAGTGACTCTATTTTGGCTTGGTCTGGTCTGCTGGGGCCTGTGCTCAGTTCAAATGGCCTCCCATTATTTTGTTTACCAGTATTTAAAAATTATTTCTAGGCTGGACCTAGTGGCTTGCACCTGTAATTCCAGTACTTTGGGAGGCCAATACGGTAGAATCGCCTGAGCCCAAGAATTCAAGACCAGCCTGGGCAATAGAGTAAGACCTCATCTCTATAAAAAATAAAAATATTAGCAGAGCCTGGTGGTACGTGCCTACAGTCCCATCTATGGGAAGGCTGAGATGGAAGGGTGAATTGAACCCAGGAGGTTGAGGCTGTAGTAAGCTAAGACTGTGCCACTGCACTCCAGCCTGGACAACAGAGTGAGACCCTGTCTCAAAAAAAAAAAAAAAAAAATTAAATAAGGCAAGTATTTTTGAGCACTAACATTTTGTTTCTTTTAATAGATCAAAACCATAGAAGCCTTTGCAATGAATATTTGTGAACATTTCCTTTCTTCTTTTAACCATGTCATCCGAGCTCAAGTCTATGTGGAAGAAGTCCCTTGGAAGCGTTTTGAAAAGGTTAATGCACTTATTTGTGCTCCCAGTGTAATTAAAGAAATTGACTTTATGGCATGTGCTGAAATTTTACTGGAAACATTTTTTCCCCTCTAATTTTCAGAATGGAGTTAAGCATGTCCATGCATTTATTCACACTCCCACCGGAACACACTTCTGTGAGGTCGAACAGACAAGGAATGGTAAGAACCTGTTTTTCATGCTTTGATTCCAATAGCAACTTCAGGGCTTTTTCTTTTCTTTCTTCTGAACGACTCTGTTTATTCACATGGAGGAAAACTCTAGGGAATTCTTAAGGCTTTTCAATGTGAGATAGAAATGAATTTGAATATTGAGATCTTGGATTTTCTTTAAAGAATTGTCTACTTAGGTCTAAAAATATAAAAATGATATCATTCATTTTGTAACAACCCTGCGGGTTGATTGGGAAAGATCATTTTTATGGTCAGATTTTGAGGTAAGGTAGCATCAAAAAGGCCCTGGCTGCTAAGAACCTAAGTCTCTGAGCTTTCCGACAAGTATGTTTTGTTCCATACTATGCTATAATTATAGTAACCTTTATAGAAAATATTTACTAAATAGCAATCAAGTTTTCCTGAAATTTTATTTGCATAATAAAACCTCTAATAATATTATAATTTCTGTAAAATGAAGCTCATTTAAAATAGCTGTGACAAGTATATAATTCTATTTACCAAGAAATTTAAAAATTCACTGTGGAACATAATTACAGTATAGACCTTATCAGGCCTGATAGTTGAACTCAGCAAGCATTAACATTTCCAAAACTTGTGTTCCACTGATTTGTTGAGGTTGTCAGAGCAGAGTTCAATAGTTGACTAAGAATTAGACTAGAGGATCTCTAAGAATCATGGAACCAAATATGGTGAAAATGTCTCTATCCCAATAAAAAATAAACCTTAATGATATAAAATGAGAGGGTGGACTCTGAAATTTTTTAGTTTTTTATTTTTCTATTTTCCCTTCCTCCTTTCCTCTCTCCTTTCCTTTTTTTTTTCTTTCCCCATTGCTTTATGTCCCCTTTTCTTCTTTTCTAGCTCTCTTCAGTAAAAATGTGAGGTGTCATCTAGCAGACACCATATATATTACAGAGTTAATAAAATATAAGGTCCTTTCTCATTCTGAGTGCTATTGAATAATGCTCTCCTTAGAAACTGCTAGTGTATCAGTTATTATTTAGTATTTTTCACTATGTATATTAAAGTCTAGATATAGCAAGGACCTTCTTGACGTTTGATTAACAGTTATAAAATTGTTAGACAAAAGACTAAAAAGTTGTTATATTAAACTGAAAAGATGATTTTTAGCCCCTAGATGTGTAGTCATGTGATATAGTAGCTCTCTGACTGAGCGGTCTGTTAATTAAATTAGAACTTTAGAAAAGAGAGAAAGAAATTTCCTGACTCTTAGGCCAGTGTTTTCCCATCCAAACTATCCACATACGCTTAAAACCAGCTTTGTCCAACTGAAATATAATGGAAGCAAGTCACGCATGTAACTTTAAAATTTTTTTAGTAGTCATGTAACAAAAGTTAATGGAAATGAGAGAAATTAACTTTAATAATATATTTTATTTAACTCAATATATTCAAAATATTTTAGTATGTAATAAATATAAAAATTATTAATGCAACATTTTACATTCTTTTTACAAAATTAAGTCTTTGAAATCCTGTATTTTATATTTACAGCCCATCTGAAGTCACACTAGTCATATATCTTTTTTTTTAATGAGTTGGAGTCTCACTCTGTCACCCAGACTGGAGTACAGTGGCCACTCCCGGCCACCGCAGCCTCGACCTGCTGGGCTCCCGGCAATCCTTCCGCCTCAGCTTTCCAAGTAGCCGGAATTACAGGCGCGCACTACCACATCCGGCTAATTTTTTGATTTATTGTAGAGATGAGGTCTCACCAAGTTGCCCAGGTGGGTCTCGAACCCGCAGGCTCAGGCAATCCGCTCACCTCAGCCTCCCAAAGGCGCGGGATTACAGGCTGAGCCACCAAGCCCGGCTGCACTAGTCATATTTCAAGTGCTTGATAGACATGTGGTTAGTGGCTACTGCCTCGATCAGCATAGCTCTAAACTGTGTTTTGGATGACTTTGGGATACTTAGAATAGTCTCCATTCCACTTTCAATTATGTAAAATAACAGCAGGAACTCGAATTAGACTTCAGGAGAACTAAATTAAAAGATGAGAGCATTTAGGAAACATGACTATGTCATTCATTCATATGCTGTTCATTCAACACTAGATTCTGAGGACTTATTATGTACAAGGGAGACTCCCAAAAACCTGGAATTATTTTTTGGAGTCCAGGTCCCTGTAGTATAGGCTTCACCTGCTAGGTAAGTGTTCTAGGAACCCATCAGCATCAGTATACCAACTAGCCAACGCTAGTTGAGATTGTTTTTGGCTTCAGTTAATTTTTTTTTATTTTGGAGATTCTTCCAACCTGTTTGCCGATTTCATGATGAGTAATTTATGAGCACACCTGCCAACACTCTACTGAGTGTTCAGCAGCATTTGACCAAAACGGCATGACCTCCATGCCCCACCCTCTCTATTCACCCAATCTCAACCCACGCGACTTTTTTTGGTCTGTGTCCTTGGATAAAAAAAGTCCTCAAAGGGAAATAAATGCTTTGCCAAAGTGGAAGAGGTGAAACAAAGAATGGCAGAAGCACTAAAAGTCATAGAAATCGAGGCGTTCAAAAACTGTTTTGAGCACTGGAAAAAGCACCTCGATATGTATATTGCATCAAATGGAGAGTATTTTGAAGGTGACTAAGTTAGCCAGGCTCGGTGGCTTGGCCTGTCATCCCGTGCCTTTGGGAGGCTGAGGCGAGCGGATTGCCTGAGCCCGCGGG